CCCCTGTAATATTATTCTTTTGCTATCTGTTCTTCCTACAAATATACTTGATAGCCTTAAGTTACAGGTAGGTACATGTCTTTCTTCAGTTGTTTCTGGTGGTAAATGTGGGTATCTGTATGTTTCACACAGTGCAAAAAGGTGATTGCTATTGCAGGTACTCCCCAATAATTCATACATTTACAAGTGAGTAACAAAAGCAAGAGGTTTCGAATATAGAGCAATGAATGCATGATGGTAAATTTTAAGTTGTACTGGCCCATGTACAATACAGTGCCATGCAGGAAAAAAAATCCTGTTGTATTTTTTCTACTAGTTCATATTCAATTTGATGAAAGAGACTTTCCTTTCAAATGTTCCTTCAAGAGGAAAACGTTGATGAAATTATTACAGGCAGAATGTGATATGCCAACCCATTTTATTTATTTATTTATTTACAAGATGGTCAAGGGGAATGAAAGTGAACATCCTGTATTGCACAACACAATTCCCAGCTGTCTGTTGCAATCTCTCATTTTCTGGCCTTCAATGAAATCCCAAAGGAAAGCATCATGAGGAATCATTTCCAAGGGAGTTCTTCAGATTGGGAAGCACAGGCAACTTGGAAGGTAAGCAAGTGATGGAAAGATATTGAACAAAAAACAAGATCACAAACAATACCCACCTTTTGCTGCCTCAAACTACAAAGTAAAGTTGAAAGCACCACCAAGAGGTAACAAAATCACAATAAAAGTATTTAAAGTTAACGAAAATCTGTCCACATGGAAGGAAAAGTCCAGCTGGAGTGGGCTCCAAGTAGTCGTGAACTACCTGCCTGGTTTTAGTCTTTCCTTCTCTCCTTCCCTCAGAAATTCTTTCCATAGGGCAGGTGGCAAAGATACGGGCTTACCAGAGAACTGAAAAACTGAAACTGGAAAAAAAATCCTTACAGATCAGACCAGTGTTTCTTAAACTTCTGAAGATCATGGAACACCAAGCAATATGCTTATTGATGACTATTATATAGTCCTACAGTTCTTCGAAAGCCACTCTTTGGAAATCTCCTTCCAATAAGAAGCAGGGAGGTAGGATTCAGGCTGGAAGAAGCAGATAAAATCTTTTGCCCCAGTAGGTGTGGGCTGCAGGTCCTAGAGCAGCAAGGGCAGCAGATTTCATGACAGGCCAGAACTTAGACACTCTTTTCAAAAGCCCTTGGAGAAATGGGACCAATAAGATAAGTTGGCAGGGAAATATAGGCAAAAGTGTCAGGGGTATTTTATTTCTTTTCAGTTGTATTATTCTATCTTTGCTCCCATTTTTTCTGTTTCATTGTGTCTGTTTGCAGAGTCATGATTGCTAGTTTTTATATGTAGTTCTAAGTCAAAAGATCAAATGCCAGTGGTCTTCACTGAAGAGATAGCTAAAGGAGAGCACTGCCCCAAACAACTAGATTCAAATGTGGGCCTCCTTAAATTCACAGCCTCAGGTGGCTCAGCATTAACCTAAGTGAGGGTGTGAAAAACTGACCAAGAGTGAGTGAATGCCAAGCCTGAAGTGTACTCAGGCTGCATGTCTGAGATGGGCACACCTGGTATCAGGCACAAGGCCTACCAAAGACTGGTTGCAGATAGTGAGGTATACATCCTGCTTAATCTGTCAGCCCTGATCTTTACCTCACTTGAACCAGCAGAGCTGGGCTCCTGGACAACAACATTGTGAAAATCTCTGTTGATTCAACAAGGTTGCCCTTGACCAAGAATCACACATTCTGCACACTTTTGCCTTAAGTGACAAATGATGGATAGGTGCTAAAGACATTTCCATTGCAGCAAAGAGATGAGATGCACTGCTTTGAATTACTTTTCCAATGAACTTTGTGGGATAAAGCAAGGTGCCATGGTTTTCCATTCAAGGTGCTATAGCACATGAAATCACCTTATCAAAGATATGCATAGCACTACATACACAACAGTGACTTGTGGTAGAATGGGACCAGGAGTACTTATGGCTTGTTATTTATGAAAGACTGTTGAATCACAGAATATACTTTTTAAAATATTAGGCTAATTTGGAAAAAGAACTTGCAGGGGAATGTTTTCCTACTCCCATAAAAAAATCAGTTTACATTCAGAATTCAATTTGCTTGAGATAGAAATAGAGATATTCCAAGAATAACCTTAAGTAAATATCATAAGTATGATTAGCTTTAATTCTTATTACAGGAAGTCAAATATTATTTAATAGGTATATTAGACCTGGTTGATTCTTAACACTCAAATACAGCAATTAACAGATAGAAAAGGAACAGGAGGATGGTAAGGAAGGAGCTATTGCACTGTACATTAAAAAACTAATAACACAGAAATCCAGGAAAAGGAGTTGATGGAACTGTTGAGAGCATCTAGATTAAAATAAATGAATAAAAAACAGATCCACTGTCGGTGACCAATATAAAAAAATTGGCAGGGCAGAACCAAAAAAAGCATTTATCATCCTTTTTTTCCTCTCTCTCTGAAAAAAACCCTCTTATTGTAAGCAATTTAGCCCATCTCTAAGTTGCTTATACATTTGTTGACATGGTAGAGCTAACCTAGAATAGTTTTCACCTCCCAACTTACCCTTTGTCACACCATCTTCGACATTTTTTGGCATCAGAGTTTTAGATGCAGGAAAAACTAGTTAATGGAGAGGGAATGAGGACTGGTTATTTATTTTCTGGTGATTAATGGAGAAACTGAAGAAACCTGAAGGATCTTATAGCTTCTCAACATTGCCCAAATGTAATAGAATTTTGTCCTTAAGGAATTTGATTCATAGTAGGGGTGTGCATTAATGCTCATAGAATTTTGCCTTGGAATATATAAAAGTAGAAAATCACAGACAAGAACCTCTGGCCAGGGCCCAATGTGGATTATCAGGATATCCCACCTGACCTACAGAGTATCAAGCCATGCCTCTCATCTTCTCATAGCTACACCCCAAGCCTCATCCCTCTCTTCATTTGCAGCAAGAACCAAGTTTGCAGGAACCCCAGCTAGAGCACTCACCAACGCACTGCTCTCTTGAATATCTCAAGCCTTCACCAGAAAGATAGCATACAGGTCCACCAAGACAGAACTATCCATGCAAGCATTTCATCTGAAATATGTGCGAGTGTGGCCATACTTATAGTGGAAGCATCATTTAGGGGCAGAAGTCAAGTCCACGCAAAGGAAGCAGAAGAAACTTATTCCTCACTTATAGCATTAGATAGCATGTAGGTCTCTTCTAAAACATGACCGATAATGTAGGGAATGTAAGGGTAGTCTTTGTAGAAATGATAACTGCAGAGAAAATGTGATATAGGTTCCCATCTACTAGGGAGCTACATTTGGCAAGTCCCAGGAGGCAGGTCTTCTATGTACCTGCCTTATGGAACATCCTCCCCCAGAAGTGAGGCTGGCTCCATTCTGGCTGATTTTCCGGAAGTCCCTCAAAAACTGGTTATGCCATCAGGCCTGGGGGCCCCAGGGGACTGGTGAGATACTAAGATGGCTCCATTGTTAGTAACATCTGCTGTTCTCTCTTAGCCTTTATGATCTTTAAATTTTTAATAATTATTTTTATATATATTAACTGTTTTATAGTCTCCTTATACATTGCCCAGAGTCACTTTTCATGAGATGGGCGGTCATATAAATTTGATGAATAATAAATAAATAAATATAGCACATAGTTTTCTAACCAAATAATCCTTTCCCAAACCATTAATAATTTCTATGGTAAGTATTCTTTAAAGACAAATCAACACACTCCACTTCTTAGCAAGACATCATATGATTCCAATCCAATCCATGATTAATTTACACATATTCATCTGTTCACTGCATTACAAACCAAAGACTCCTTTCAGCTGAAACCAAACTCACAAGCTCAAGCTGTAAAAATCGAAGCATATAGAAGAGTCATTTTTTTTCATCTGTTGAGATTAAAATCAAAGTTCGTTTAAATTAAAGGTAATTGTATAATTATAGCAAAAGGCTGTTTATTTATATAATGCATTTTCCACAACCCGCTGTGGTCAAAGTGACTCACAGAAAATAGGTATACTAATCTAAATACAGTAACTGTCCATGTAACTAACCACAACCCACATACAAAGCCATTGTGTAAACCTAATACATTATAATGCAATATTGGCAGTCTAAGAATTCATTTCACTGGCATGCTGGTATGCAAAAAGCATACTCATATGCCAATTACTAAGATCTAAAACCAGTATAACATCGACTTTATAGTCACATTAAGCAATCCCCTGAACAATTCAGTTTGAGACCTAACAATACACCTATCTTAAATCAGTAAAAGAAACAAGAATACATTTAACTACCTTCAGCTGTGGTTTCTAACCATATTATAGCCTTAGTAACCATAATAGACTCTGAGCTGCAGATTTCAACCCAAGCAGACCAACCATATTATAAGTCTACCTAAACGCAGTCAAAACTACATGGATGTGAACTCAGGTCTGAAAAGAGAAAGGTTTGATACAGAAAAACTCTGTCAATCATCATCACAGTTTTGAGGCCTGTACCAAGAATAGGCACCCTCACCTTCCTATTTTCTTGAGTTAATCCATGGAACAGACACACAAGGGAAAAAAAACTCAGGAGGATGACTGCAACTGTATTTTCAAATAGATACAAAAGTGTACCCCCCAACTTGATGCCATTAGACCTAAGGGACCACCACAGATTTTTAGAATAAAACACCTGCCCATCTATCTATCCTTCCTTCCATATGAAGACTTCTTGGATAGCAGCGGTCTCTTTCTCTCCCCACAGTCTCTCCTTGCCACAGGAGAAGGGCAATCCATCTCTGCAGTTCAATCATTTATGAAACAGCTTTTGTTTCTGTTTTCCACAATAAACCTTGGCAGTGCTTTTCATAGAGTGGCCTCTGTAGAGAAATTAGCCAAAAGGTAGTCATTTTGTTTTCCTGTAAGAGGCTGGTCTTGCCTTTCCATCCTGCCCTTGCCTCACCTTCTCTGCATGTTCTCTATCCTTATTGCAATTGCCGTCCATCGTGCTGCGAGACCATTATTCCTCAGAGACATTCTTCAGTTTTCAAACTAAGCTTTACCAGAGGGCCTTTGATAGTCATCTTATATGTAACCACAGGCTGTTTTTCTTTAAAAAAAAAAAAAAGGTTTGTTTAATTAATGCCTATTATTAATTGAATAACAGTGATTATTAGATATTATTGAGTTGGTTTTATGGATGTGAAATGCTACAGTGTTCTCATGGATGCTTTATAGTTCAGATAGTGTGACTATATTATTATTTATTGTTATGCCAAGTGTGGATGCTTGATATGTTACTGTGTAAGCAACCATGAGTCTGATTGGAGTTGGCAGCATGCTAATTTAATAAATAATTAATTAAAAGATTATCAGCAAACAATATTAAGGGGGAAAAAAGCTGGAGTTGGTTTTCTTTTGCTATTTTGACCATCTCTTTTCCTTATCTTATTCTGCCATGCAACAATCCTCTAAGAGAAGTCTGCAGTATTCACATTCATCAGTCTGAGAAATTACACTTTGCCAACACCCTCCCAGATGGAGTTTCATTTGAATTCAAATCTGTATTTTAAAAACCCAGCCACTACTTGTTGAACACACAGGCTAAAGAAACAGTTTGAGTCACAATATGCTGTAGTCTCCACAAGAGTGCTATAAAAAGCTAATTCTTACACCTAAAATGATAAAGCAGAATTCTCCCATCACACTAACCCAGAATGAGGCTTATTTGGTCTTATACTTGATATTAAACTCTTACAAATTGCATGGGTGAGAAGATGCTGTAAGGTAGGTAATTCCCATGTGAAAAAGTAGGACCAATTTAATTTTTACTACATGTGCTATTTGGATTCAGAAAAAAAGAAAAGAATAAGAAACCATCACAATTTTACAATGGTACCACGTTAGCCATCCAGGCATTATTATATAATCTGTTTATTTCACCTCATTTATACCTTGCTTTACACCAAGTAGTGCAAGAAAATGAATAATAGTATTCAGGTTCCATAAAATAAAGATAAAAAGCAAGTTTTAGTCTTTTAAAACTCTATAGGATAAAGACAGCATCTGATGCTAGCCACTAAGCGAAGTCTTTTATCTGAAGCACAATAAGCTATATCAAGAATCTGGTGCTGATCGAAGTGCACATTTTTAAAAAGGTTGCTAGAAACAGCCCCAATGTTGTTAGCCAGGAAAGATTGCCTTACAGTGAATGAGAAGGCTCCCACAGGGTCAACCTGGATCAAGGACTTAATGAAAATATGTCACTACGGAGGACAGCAAACTATCTATGACAGGATAAAAATTACCAAAAAGTTGAAGCAATCTGGAGGATCTTTTCCAAACTACCTTGGGAATGACATATTGTCCATATATTTGGTCCAAGCCAGATGCACAGACATAAATAAAAAAAAGCCAAGATGCAGCAAGAGATACAAGCTGGCAACTGTAACAATCTCACTCATCATATTTTAACATCAAAGCAATTAAGACATAGACAAAGGTATATGCACATTAAATTGTACAAAAAAGAAGTCAAGGTATGCAAGCTGAAACTTGCTGATTCTAAAACCTAATCAGAAATCTTGAAAAACACATTAAAGAAATCTGTCCAGTAAACTATTATTTGTGATGAATATGTCAAGCTCCAATGAAAGTCAGTTTAACTTTCATCATTTAAAATTTTCCATTCATTTTCAGAGATCAAAACAGATTTCTATAGAAAAAGAATAAGCCAACAAGATAGTCAGTACAACACCTAGAGACAGACTGTAGCCAGGCAGATGAAAATTATAGATTTAAGGCTGAAAAAGGTTGGCACAGATCGATGGGGAGCAGAAAAAACTGTAAGAAGAACTGTGATCGGTGCAAATTTCTGATGGAAATGTTTGTTGTTTTATAATTATTGTTTTTTAAGAAAGAGAAAAATCTTACAACCAACTCTGGCATGTTTTCTTTTTAAAAAGGGGGGAAATGGGAAGCAGCTTTATTTGTGGAAGGAAGGAAGGGAGGAAGGCAGGCAGGCAGGCAGGCAGGCAGGCAGGCAGGCAGGCAGGCAGGCAGGCAGGCAGGCAGGCAAGCTGTATGGAACAAAACATGAATAGCTTTTATTAAACTATGCTGGAGATAAGAAAGTGGAGGTTTGTAATTTGGGAACCATTATAAAATCTACAGCAGAATTCTATACATATCTATCCAAAGGCAAGTCTACAGAGATTCCTCAGTGTTGATATGCCAAACATCTACAAATCACTCCAGACATTCAGCATAATTCTTCTAGGGAATTGGAGAAAATGCACACACATACAAACACACACAAAGAAAACTAGCATCAAAGGACAGATTTGCTACTTTGGTAGAACTAACAAGCAAGCATTAACAAACTATATTAAGAAACTGATTTGACTGAGATTGTAAGAAACATGTATATTAAGTTTATTTTTCCATGGCTTCTCAGAAGATAAACTTGATGTTCAGACAGAATTGTTCTACCAGTTCTTTAAGCCCTCAATACTGTACATTCATTGCTCCCTTCGTCTCTACCAGACTTTCATTAATCACACCGCTGTTGCAACGAATTTCATAGATCCATCCTATTGGATTTCCCTTAAAAAAAAAAAAAGCCAACAGGATAAGACTGCAGGGTTGTGGGTCCTGTATCCATCCACAAAACAGTAATAACAACCACTGAGCTATCTTACTGTGATATGCTGTAGTTCCCTCCACCTGGAATACATAACTATAGAATGGTGCATTAAATCTATGATAAAATAGATTTTTAAAGTGCTTACCAACTCAAGAAAAAAAAGATTTTGGAAGATAGGAAAAAAAAAAAAGGTCTACTTCTATTAATGTTTAGATCTGATTACACAACTGTGAATGTGTTCAGAAAGTCTTGAATTTTAGAACTTTTTCTGTGGACAATAACCACTCTTTCTCCAAGGAAGCCCAAACCAAGTATTTAAAAAGCTTTGCACAAATGTTTTAGTCACTGCTATTATTTTATATATTTTGGAAAGGCAAGGGTGAGCTGATTTCTCTTAAAACAACTGGGAAAAATAGTGCCTGAATTTTGCCTCATATACTGATTTCTATGAAGGCTATAGATCCTCCTTCCTTCCCTCTCTCTTTGTAACAGGAAAATAGAGGTAATGGTCCATCTATTGGGCAAGTGATCTCACCTTCCTCCTGTTACAGGTCAGTGGCAATATATGAGCTTCTGGAAAAAGAACCTCAAACCTATTAAAAACTTCTTGTTTTAGCTACTAGAGAATCCATGGAATGCTTGAATGGAATCAATTACAACTGCATAACAAAAACCTAAAGCTCACAGAGATACATGAAATAATTTTTTTAAAAAGATTAGATATATGGGAAGAAATACAAGAAACACCATTCTGTGCATAGTAATTAGCAAGGAAAAAATCATTGAAATAAATGAAATTTACTTCCCGGAAATGGTATTTAGAGATTGACTAGATGTGATTGTGACAATTCTGGTTCTACCACCCTATCCTTATAGAGCAGCAGGTTATGAAAGGCAATTTAAATTTCAGCATGGAACTGAAGCCAACATACCAACATACTGCTTTGCTATAGATATATTAAAGGAATGTAAGAAATGGCTAAATCTTAAAACTAATGGAATTTAAAAATACAAAGGCAGCAGCTTTTCACAAGAATTGCAAACTACAAGGCAGTCTTTTACAAAATCAGCTCTATTTTTATACTGTTTTTGTTTATTTTTCTACCTTGCAGAGTTATCTACCTGAATCTGTATGTATTAACTTTGAGAAACTGAATCTGTATGTATTATCTTTGAGAAACTGAATCTGTATGTATTATCTCTGAAAAACACTAGTGAGGTACCAGACTATGGAGAACAAATACTGACCTTATCTTTAGAAAGAGGAAAAAAAGATCCAGGGAACTACATACCAATCAATCTGACACTGATACTTGAGAAGCTTATAGACCAGATCATAAAGAGATAGATCTATAAGTACATATAGATAGTACTATATGTACAATGTGGTAATTACCAAAAGCCAACATATATTTGAGATCAAGTCTTGAAAAATTGATGTTATCTCCTTTTTTGATTGGGTAACTTTCTTCATAGAGCCAGTTTGGTGTAGTAGTTAAGACACCAGGGAAGAAACTGAGAGACCATGAGTTCCACTCCCATCTTAGGCATGAAGCCAGCTGGGCGATCTTGGTCCAGTCACGCTCTTTTTCAGCCCCTAGGAAGGAGGCAATGGCAAACCACTTCCAAAAAGCCTTGCCAAGAAAACTGCAGAGACTTGTGCAGACAGTCACCAGGAGTCAACACTGACTCGAAGGAGGAAAGGGGAAGGGGAAGGGGAAGGGGAAGGGGAAGGGAGGGAAGGGAGGAAAGGAAAGGAAAGGAAAGGAAAG